CATAGGAGGGCGCCACCGAAACACCTCGCCGCCAATAGAAGGGTTTCTTGTATACTGAGATCTGGCTATCCACACACCGGCGAATCAAGCGTACACCCGCAGGCAATATGAAGGTGAACAGCTTACCTGGTTTGTTGCCTGTTTTACGGCTCCCTAAAGCTATATTAACTCTCAACGTCTCAAATGGTACGTGGCTTGAAGGTCTAAACTTTGCGTTCTAGCCCACTTCTGGAACAGAGCTTGTTCCCAAACTTGCAGGGGCGTCAAAAACAAGAAGAGGGCTGTTCACCTTCATATCGCTCACGGGTGTGCATCTTCGTAGCACCACACGCGGTGTCGGTGCTTGGAAGCATTGAAAATTAAGTTTACTGTTTCGAAATATGCAACAAGAACAATATAATTGTAAGAGATCTGTCGAAATGGGCATGATTTGTAAGTTGATTGCATACACAGTGTCAAAGACGCTTGTATTGGCGAGGAACGCTTTCAGTACGATGATGCTCCATGGTGATCTTGGTGTGACTGGTTGAGAACGACCTTCTCAAAGCTTCGAAGATTTGAATAGACCGAGGTGGCGATTGGCGAGATTTTGGTCGTCTGTATGTATTTGTTTGTGCTCGGCTCTTAGGCAGGAAATGCAATGGCGCTATTTTCCCAGGATCCAGAGACTCCAGCTCGTAATAGACCATTTTCAAAAGTCGGAGTCAGCTTGCGGCAAGTCTTAAAAGCTCCAACATTGCCGCTCTAATGGCGGTGACAGAAGATTATGCTCGGCTAAATCCAGCACCCTCGATTTCCTGAATCGAAGGTCACGTGAGAAGACCAACATTTTTTTTCCCTTTTGTGCTGTCTGCTTTCAAAGTCGTTCGTTTTTTTTTTTTTCTTTTTTTGGTGTGGAGAAGTTGTGTAGTACTGCCGCTAGAGCGTCGGGTTTGGCTTTGTACAGAATGGGTAGACTCGCTTCGTAAAGGGCCTATAGGAGGTATTCATTGGACGCCATATTTGAAGGCGATGTTTAGAGCGCATGCTCAGAACGAGCTCACAATAATAGCCTGCTAAGACCAGCAACCTTGATGGTGCTAGATGCACGCTCCAAAAGGACTGCGGAAGCTCGCCGTCAGCACGCGCTCAGCAGCACCGCGCTAGGATGTGGCCGCCAGTGAATACTCCCTATAGACCTATGCAAGCATCAAAGAGAATGCAGGGATTGGTGTTCCACGCGCAGCACGTGCTGGCCTCAGCAGTAGTAACCTTTCTAGAGGAAATACCTAAAACAAATGGCATCTTGCACGCGCGTTCCTCAACGCTTTATTTTGGTTATTTACTTCGAATCCTTTATACGGGCAAGGCGCGCGCGTGAGGTCTATTGCGGCCTGCCAGAAAGAGCGCGTGTATAACATAAAACAACAATGAACGCGCCCTAATGCACTTTTATAGAAAGGTAGTTCGGAGCACGTAAGGCGAAAGCTCGCCCTGCAGAAACCAAAGATCCTGGGTTCAATCCCCACTCCTGTCCGTTTCGATCTGGACGAGCATCGTACCGGCGTTCGGTCGTGTATCACTACTGCATGGTTCACGTTAACTAAAGAACCCCCGGGCTAGCGGTTGTACCGCACTGTCTAAATTGCTCATCTACAGCGAGACACTAGACGCCTATTGCTGCTGACCAACTTCACTAGAACCACTCAGTTGGGAAGCTGCCATAGAGTCTGCTCTGAAAAAGTGGCGCCGATCATTATCCCAGTACCGAGCTAACGGCGATCGCTGCGCTGCCATTTCTCCCGCAGCGGCCATTCCGTGAACTGCACGGCTGCGCTTACTGGTTCCGCGGAGTCACAGAGGGGCCGGTGGCGCCATCTCGCAGAGCCATCTTGCAGTATCCATATAAAGCAATTGTCATATTTCAACTCCTCGCTAAAGGGTGGCGCTGTTATCGTATTTAGTTTGGTCTCGGTGGACGCCAGCGGCCCAGGTTTCAAGGGCGAGTTTCTCAACTGAGTGGTTTAGTAACGTTGGTGCTGGCTAACGTTCGGCTACGTAACACAAATAACTGCTCTCGGTGACGTCGAATTCGTTTAAAGGGAATTAAACGGTCGTTTCGGAAAGCGATCCAGATCGTATTGTTTAATGATTTCCGCGCTAAAATTGGAGTGAAAATTGACGTCACATGACGTGGTCATGGCGCAACATCACAGTTTCAAGTCGTGGTTTCACGTGTTACCATGATTTCGCCGTATGTTAATTTGACCGCTAAATTTAGCGGGGCAAGTGCACGAACGAACTGATGGACGGACCGATAAAAGTCATGGATAAAAGACAGCGTTAAAAAAGCATGACACAGAAAAAACGAAATCACAGAAAGATTTTGTTTATAAGGTTTCACCAGCTGCAATATGCATCGTTAGATGCACAGGAATGTTTGCGTGAGACATAGTCTGAAGAAACATCTGCACTCAAGTTTGTTCTCCTTCTCTATCAGGTCCTGTTTCAATTCGCAAAATTAGCCCGTTGAAAAGTTACACACGATATTTACTGAATTTAGCTGTGTAAAGTTGCAACTTTTTCACTGGGGAGTGCTGTAGTGGTAGCCCTGATTTGGTTTCGGCAGTAAAATGTATATCCCACCACCGTTCGTCGGAGAGGGGTAGACTCTACGTGTCACGGCGCTTTTTCATTGGTGAAAACCAAAAACACTCCGCCAGCAGCCGAACTGTTTTACTTTGGTTCTGGAGGTGATAACGAGTTTTGGTTAGTAGCCCGACTGAGCACTTTCCAGCTTTATAGCAGTTTGGATGACGACGGTCCTCCGATACTGAGAGAAAAGCATAGGAAATCGGCGATGGCTTGTTCGCGCTGTTTCGTGTGGTGTTCTTGTACGCTGGTAAGTCAACCTAAGTCAACCTAGCTTTTTTTCTTTTTTTCAAGAGCAAATTCTTTTCAGAAGAATTTTCTACTTACAGAACTTCGTTCGTTCGTCCCTTTGTGTATTTACCCGCTAAGTTTAGCGTGAAAACTGATGTCCCGTGACGTCATAGTATCATATGACACCGTGACCAACGTCAAATGACCACGTCGGGTATCGTCAAGTCACGTGACGTGAATTTCCCCTCGAGAAAATAATAAACGATACGTGATAAAGCTTCTCATTGAAACCACACCTCTAAATTTTCCTTAACGTTTATTATTCAAAAAGTAATTACGAACCTAATTATGCCGATCGGTATCACTTTTTCACGTATAGTTTTGTGACATGAACCAATAAGGCGTGAGTCAACCATCTTGTCTATGCTACGCATACCTTCTTTCATGAGCGAGTTTACCCGCGTTTCGAAAAAAACACCCCGTATATTTATTTATTTATTTATTTATTTGAAAATACTGCAGGCCTTTCTCAGACCCTGGCAGGTTACAGGCAACAATACACAATAGTACCATATACAACGCTAAAAAGAAAAGTAATACATAAATACATAACGACGGAGAACATAGTACATTGAAAATTCCATCAAGCAATGACACAAAAATTAAGGACTTACAGTTTTCATAGAAATACATGCTTCATCGGATTACATTCAACGAATGCTGATACAAAAAAGATGAATTTTTAGGATACCCTCCATGTTAAAATCAATGACATTTTGGCTATAAGATGTCCTAAAAGTGCTTAGTCAAGCCATTTACGAACGACTGCCGCAAATTTTGATTAATTCCTCCGGCAACAAATTCCAATCTTTAATGCTATGGAAAAGGAACGAATACTTGAAAGTGCCATTATGGCTGATGTACGGTTTGATCATTTTAATATGGTTAGTTCGATTAGAGTGACTATGTGGTTTCTTCAAATAATTATCTGCTCTCTTTTAAGGTGCCCATGATAAAGTTGATGCAGGAACTTTAACGCGCAATGATCCGTCTAACACCAAGACTTTGCATTTTCGATTGTTGAAGCAAATCGGGCCCCCATGCTCTCCGCGCGCCTATATTTTGAAAAAAAATAAAAAATCTTAAACCCCAGTTTTGAATTTTTTCTAGACCGTACGAGAGATATAGTTGGTGAGGGTCCCAAATGATGCTTGCGTATTCTAACGTAGGCCGAATTCATGTCTTATAGGCGGTTAATTTGCATTCTAGTGTTGTATTTTTTAACTGTCTCCTCAGAAAGCCCTATTTTCGGCGAGCAATATTGCACACATAATTAACTTGCGCGTCCCATTTTAAGTCCCGTGTTATTTGAACTCCTAGGTATTTAACTTGGTCTGTTTTAATTAGGCGGGTGGAACAAATCTCATACTTAAATTCAAGAATTTCTTTCTTGTGGGTTATTGTCATTGCTACCGATTTCTGGTAATTAATATTCAGTCCCCATTCCAGACACCATTTTGATAAAGCATGTAATGACGAATTCAAATTTTCTTGATCGTTCTGCTCAGTTACATTAGAGTATAAAACGCAGTCGTCCGCGAAAAGTCTGACCTTTGTTGATGGGTGAACAATATTGCCTATGTCATTCACGTAGATGAGAAACAACAAGGGCCCGAGCACTGAGCCCTGTGGCACACCAGAATACACACTGAGAGAGGATGAACACTTTCCACCAATTTCCACAAACTGCTCGCGCGCACTCAGATAGGGACTTACGCCGCGCGTGCAGGTGGCCAAGCTGGCAGCGCGCCCGTGGACGAATGCGGTTATCGTGCTTGGCTCTCACGCAAACAGCCGAGGTTTCATGCCTAGTACCAGAGGCACCCTTTTGTTAGTTTTCTAAATGTCGCGTTCTGGTTAATTCGAGAACCTTGTTGCTTGTGCGAGGTCAGAATGTTCTACGCCGATTGTTCCAGAAGCCCACGCGTGTACAAAAAGGGTCTCCGCATGACGACCCGGAGTCAGTCTCGCCCCAGCGCTCGATCCTGCTGTTTCACCGACATCGATGCCTGCGACGCTAACCTAATATTTTGTCTTGGGCATAGAGAGAGAGAAAATCACTTTAATTAGAGCACAGATTAAGTACCCAAGATATCCTCCGCCTGAAGTACCAGGGCGAGCTGATCTTCCAGTTGCGGCGACGCCAACCATGCACTCCAGGAGGGTGGTGGGGGGTTAGGAAGAAATGAGGTGGTGTAGGCGACCGGGCAATGAAGGAGACAATGTTCTTGATTGGCATAGGGAGCTGGGCAGTTGGGACAGGAAGGGTCTGATCGATAGCGGAAGAGGTAAAGGCGAGCAGGTGTGACGAGGGTGTTTGTCTGGATTTTACGGAGAATGTGGGTCTGCGCGACACTAAGCTGTGGATGTGGTCGAGGTAGAAGTTCATGAGATATACGGATCTGTTTGTAATGTAACTTGAGTGTTTTTTTGTACTCTGCTGCCTCGTCATTGGTCGGGGGGCTTAGCCAGGGGATTGCAGGTGCCCGGCTGTGAAATTCGCGGGCGAGCTGATGTACCAGCTCATTACCTGCTATCCCTGCATGACCAGGGACCCATCGAATCGTGACCGAGGATGAGGAGAGAGAGTGTAGGGCCATTTCAAGGTCCTCTCGAAGATCGGCAGGAATTTGTCTCTGTTGCAAGGAGCGCATAGCAGCCATAGAATCAGAGTAGACAGTGTAAGCGGACGTGCGCGGCAATTGGGAGAATGATATGATGGCATGGATAATGGGGACAAGTTCTAACGTGGTGATTGACGGGGGGTCGCTGTATGGACCGCACGTGTGAAGAATAGGTAAGGAATGTTTAGGTATGTAGATTGCGTACGCAGCCGTGCCGGTGTCCAAGATGGAAGCGTCGGTATAGGCTACCGTCTGTGTCTGAAATGGTGGATTATGATGCAAGGCCTGAGCATCTCTGCGACCGTCGTCCAGGCCCGGAGCCATGCGGCGGGGCAGAAGAGCGAAACGCAGATTAAAGGGCAATGGCGAAGCGGGTAGGTGCAAGTAAAAATCAATTGGTGAGAGTCCAGCTTGTTCTAGGATCCAGCGCCCTTGATGTGACCCCGAGAGGCGGGCTAGCTGTCGGTCACGATGGAGGTGTAGGAGTGAGGAGAGGGGAAGGAATAGGCCGGTCTCGTAGAGTCTTTGCGTTGAGGTATGGATTGGAAGGTTAAGGGAGGCCTTGTACAGAGTGCTTAATGCAGAGCTGAGTTTATTAAGTTGCTGTCGTGTGAGCGTGAAATATGGAACCGAATAAAGAATTTTACTAAGAGCCAATGCATGAACCAATTGACTCGCTTGTTTTTCATTGAGGCCCGCACGTCTTTGCACGACTCTGCGGACAAGATGTGTTACCGAGTGGCACGTGTTTATCGCCGGAGTGATGTTAGCCTGATTTGATCGATCGTGGAGATGGATGCCGAGGACCTTGCATAAGGATACTCGCGGGATGGTCTGATGGTCTAAATAGAGAGAAATGAGATGGTTTACAGAGCGCTGATACTGGGTTTGAGACAGCAGGAGTAATTCCGATTTTTCTGGGGCCGGTTTCAGCCCTGCTTGGGTTAGGAACGCAGTTATGGTGTCTAGACCTTTCTGTAGAGTAGATTCAACTTCCCCTGGTGATCCGTGAGTGCACCAGAGGGTGAGGTCATCAGCATAAAATATGTGGGAAAGGTGGGGTATCTGCTGCAGGCAGCGAGCTAGCTGGGCCATACCCAGATTGAAAAGAGTAGGGGAGAGGACAGCCCCTTGAGGTGTACCTCGTGTGAGTGAGAGTGGTTGGGACAACTCGCCCCCTATACGAAAGCATGCAGTGCGGTCCTTAAGGAAGTTTTGGATGTAGGTATACAAATTTTGTCCGCATTCTGTTTCTCGAACTGAAGCGAGTATGTGATCATGACTTATGTTGTCAAATGCTTTGCGAACGTCTACTGTGACGAGCGCATGCACCTGACAGGAAGATGGGGAGAGGAATGTGTGCTGGAGTAAAAGGAATAGGTCTTGAGTGGAAACATGGGAACGAAAGCCGATTTGGGTGTGTGGCAGGAATGCAGTGGCTTCAAGATGTTCTTGAAAACGATCGAGGACCATCCGCTCCATCGTCTTGCCCACGCAAGAGGTTAAGGAAATGGGACGGAGGTTATTAAGTGATGGGGGTTTTCCAGGTTTGGGGATCATGATAATAGTAGAAGATTTCCATTCCTTTGGGTATGTACCCTCCGACCAATGTTCATTTATGTAGGTCAGGAGCTGTTTTTTATTCGCTTCTGGAAGGTTACGGAGGAGGCAGTACGTGATGGTATCTTCTCCTGGGGCTGATTTTCGTGAGTTTTTTGCTAGGGCCAAGTCTAAGTCTGCTAGTGTGAAAGGGCTGTCTAAAGTCGGGTTTTCAGGGCCCGAGTAGGAGGGGTAGTTTGAGGTCAATGCTGGAGGGATGTATAGGTTCTGTAAGGCTTGGATAAGGTCTGTGCTACCTTGTAAAGCTAAGTGTTTGTCTAGCGTGGGAGCGGGAGGTGGCTGAGGCCCTAGAAGTGAACGGAGGAGATGCCATGCGGTCTTTTGGTGGAGGGTACCGTTTATCTGATCACATACTCTGTTCCAGTTCGAGATGTCGAGAGTGCTGCAGTGTGTAGCAATGTCTGCATCTAGGTGTTGTAAACGTTCTCGGAGTTGTTGATTGTGGGGTTGCTGGCTAATGCATCTTAAGATACGCTTACGACGTCTCCAGAGGCGCACTAGATGCGGGTCTGGCCGTATCGCCGGGGCTGTGGTGTTTTCTATTTTTGTGGCTTGTGTTCGGGCTTGTTTGATGGCGCATATCCAGGTCTCGTAAGAGCCTGATTGCTGCCCGGGTGAAACAAGGATGCTGCGAAATTTATCCCAGTTTGTATTTTTGACTGATATTTTCCGTGAGCGGCTAGAGATGCTGAGTGATATTGAGAGAATGAAGTGGTCACTTAGAAGTCTCTCTTGAGTATGAACCCGGACACTCGAGTTTCTGCCGTGGTATAGTGTGAGATCTGGGGTGGTACAGTGTTGCTGGCGTGTGCCTTGTCGGGTTGGCATGTCGGGAGTATTTAAGACAGTGAACTGGCGCTGTGAAATGTACGATTGCAGAAGTCGCCCTGGGCGAAGTGTGGATAGGTAACCCCAGCTGACATTTGGGGCATTAAAATCACCGCCCAGGAGTACCTCGTAATTAGGTGTCAACTCTGCAGCAAAGTCGAAAAGTGATTTGAATAGGCGGTGCTCTGTGGGGGGATTATATAGGTTGAGGAGGCATATAGGTCTGTGTTTAGGGAAGGGATAGTAAGCACATGCCACTACATTTTGTCTGAGAGATGTAGGGATGATCAGTGGTTCATACTGGATATCCCGTCTTATGAATGTGGAAACTAAAGGGGCCTCGTTTGGATGGCCATGCAAAGCTCGGTATCCTGGTATGTTAACTGCATAGCGTGTCTCCTGGAGTAGTAGAATATGGGGAAGAGAATCTAGGGTAAGGAGCCATTGATGAAGGGGAGTGCGGTTTGTTTTGATGTTCCGGCAGTTCCACTGGATGACTTGGAACTGGGAATTTTCTACCATTATGAGGTCGTGACTGAGGAGGGGGCAGAAGGCTGTGCCCTTTGAAGGGAACAGGGGTGTTCAGTGGATTCAGGAGAAAGGGGTCTTTTAAGAGATTGGGATGTTGCTTCCATGGGTATGGGTGATGCAGAGAGCATACTGACAGCTTTTTCGAGGGATGCTACCGCCTTTGTTAGTTCTTCAATGCGGGATACGAGAGGGTTTACTGTGCCTAATATGTTGGACACCAGTGTTTCGATGTTGGCTATACGTTCTGTGAGTTGGGCGATTTGTTCTTCACATGGGGTTAGTCGTTCTTTTAACATTATGAGTTCATGCTCCATGTGTCGTTGGTAGTTAGGAGAATCATAGACGGGGGGAGTAAGCGAAGTGAGTGCAGGTGAACGCTTACAGGGAGAGGGAGTAAGTGATGGAGCAGGAGCACCTATCGATGGCGGCGATGGTGCTGGTTCTGTGAGGTTTGCTCGTGTGGTCTTCGGTTCTTGGGAGACTATGTCAGACTTTGGTTGAGATGTTGTTAGGTCGGCAGGGTGCAGAAGTGACCGTTGTTGTGGTAAGTCTTCAGTCTGGGATAACAGTGAACGTGGAGTCGTTGAGAAGCCCGCAGAGGCGTGCCCCCAGGTGGCCGTTGCAGGTAACATTCCCTTACGGGTTTGCGATTCTGTCGGTTTTTGCGCGTTGCGGAGTGATGCTTTCAGTTGCGCTTGTGCCTCCAGATGGTACTTATTTAAGGATGGTGGTTGATATGAGTTTGAGGAACTCAGCTCCGTCTTGTGTTGAGCCGCCGATTGCTTTTTGTTCGCAGTCTGCACGGGGTAAGCTGGGGGCTTTTGCATATTACGTGGAAGGGTTTTTCGGAGATGCACACGATGTTCGTATGCCGCCTTCATGCTGGCTTGATCTTTTTGGCGCTGGACCGGGCAAGTCGAGTCGAAGGAAGAGTGTTCACCCCCCCAGTGGTAGCACCGAGGGGAGCAAGCGTGAGAGGCTTGTTGGTGAGGTATTTGCGCGGCGCATGTGGGGCATCTCCAAAATGTTGGGCTCTCTGGGCAATTAAAGGTCCGGTGGCCGTACATACGGCACTTCTCACATCTCAGGGCACGTGGGCGGTGTGGGTGACACCGGTAGGTTGCCCGGCGAAAGAGGATGGTGCGGGGGACGTTGGCTCCTTCGAACGTGATAAGGACTGACTCAGTGTCCCCCATCATGCGTGCGGTGATAATGGTGGTTTGAAAGCTTTCAAGAGAGTGCATGAGGTCATTGGTTGTGAGTCCCGCTTCTACACCGTCGATGACCCCTTTGCAGGAATTTATCGGGGCGGCTAGGTAGGGGCTGATTTCATGGAGCTGGTTCCTGACACGAATGCGTTTAGTTTGGCTGAGGCGACGTGCTGAACTTTCAAAGGCGGTTTTAAGGAGTATGACTCTTTGTTGGAGGCGGACGTCGATATTTACCTCTTCACTAGCGTGAGGTGGCAGGGAGGCTGCGGCCAGGAAGAAAGGGAGGAGATCGTACCGTTTGATGTCTTGGAGTTGCAGGCTATGCGGAATTGGCACCACCACCGTATGGAGCTCATTTACCTGGCGCGGCAGGGTGCGTTGGTTCCTGGACTTGCGGGGCGTGATCCACCCCTCGTTCGGGTCTTCTGCCTGGTGAAATTCGTCGGAGTAGTGCATCGACTCGGTGTCGAAGGTAGCTTCAGCAGCCGACGTGCCTACACATGTCGAGGCCGTCGGTTCCAGTTCGGTGGCATCCATTGCTGGGCGGGTTTCTGAAGTCAGGCGTCAGGCGCTGACGACGCAAGGCTTAACGGGGCTACCGAAGCCTTGGAACTGTAGATCGCTGGTAATCCGAAAAATTAAAACATACAACCGATGATATGATGTGAAACGGGAGCTGGAAGCCTCAAAACCACGGTCTGCACGAATATTTCAATAGGTGAAACTCGAAAGCCAGGTGTCGGGGCTAAATATTCGGAACACGAAATGAGAGCAAGACGCCAGGCTGTCGTCGTCTTCTTTTTTCTCTTGGGCATAAGTTCGACCCCTTAAACGTTTAGTTTCTCCAGTTATTCGCCGACCGTCATTTGTCATTCGTAAGAAAATTCAAAATAAAAAAAAAATAAAAAAACGAGGAAAAACAAACAACGATTGCTCTTTGGACTTTTTTTCTGGTTTTATCGGCAAATAAAAAACTCCTATACACATAACTCCTACCACTCAATTCGGGATAAAAATATTTAAAGGGGCACATCGATTGATCAGGTGGCACGTCAGAGATCTCGAGCTCAAGAGCTTTGCAGCGATCCAATCAGATTAATCGGGGACTTAAATGGACACCGGGACGCGCTCTAATATAGACTACGACTTCGGTGCAGACGGACTTATCCTAAGCGCTTTAAGCCCGAATCTCCGTCGTAGACAGCCCTCGTTTTCTCGAGTACATTCTGGACAAGATTTTTTTTTTTTCATCTTTCGTTGTTTTCCACAGTACGTAAATTGCGCCGATATTCGTTGCAAGCTCCTTAAAAAAAAACCAAAAAAGAAAACTAAAAAAAAAAAAAACACAACTTTTTTGGAGAAGTTTTCTGGATAGATGGATAAAGAAATGAATGAATATGAGCGGCTGTACCTTTCGTAAGGGGCGGCAGCTTGCGCCACCTGGCCAAGGAACCAAAAAGGAAAGACCCTTTTTGTTTTTGTTATTTAAGCCGATTTTCTTCACTTCTGTCACAATCGGCAGGTTGTGCCTATGATTGCAAGGGGGATTTCGCAAAATATCCGGGGAATAAGGCAAAAAGGGGGAAAAAAAAGACCGCATCTCCACGTCGTGAATAATTTTGATTGGGGCGAAGCTCTGGTGGGTGCTGATGATACTGATTTTGTTCATAGGTAGTGCTGATGGTGCTGACTTTTTTTTATTGCTCATAGGTAGTGCTGAGTTCCGGGTTGCGTTGGTATGAAATGTGTGGTATGGAACGTTGTTATATGCGCATTTGAGCATTTGACCGCAGCGCCCTCTCGTCTATACAGGCTGAGCCAATGCATGCAAAGTTTAACGCGCTTATAACGCGTTTAACCGCAGCGCCTTCTCCTGTATAGACGTTGAGCGGCTACATGCAACGTTTCATCGTTGACATCCCCAGCTCTTGAGTTACTACCACATCTCAGAGCCCCCCTACTCGTCCCGCAGTCGTGGCCGAGTGGTTAAGGAGATGGACTAGAAATCCGTTGGGGTCCCCCCGCACAGGTTCGAATCCCGTCGATTGCGCAAATATTTTTTCTTTTTTTAAGAAGACAGATGGGGTGGCGATCGATGTGAGCATGGACGCCGGACGGACAAGGCTAGACCCTAAGGAGCTTCGCCCCTAAAACATGAAGGCAGTCAATCGAATTCACTCGTCCTTGCGAGACAGACGATTCAGTTTCTTAAACTTCCCGAAGAAAATCTAGCCTCGCCGATTTTTTGTGAGAGCTGTGTCTTATCTTTTTTTTACAGCGGAGCTGTTAAGGACTAGTTTCCCCAGTTTCGTGTCCGTGGACAAATAAATCCCGACACAACGCTCTCGACAGCTACTGCCATCTATAAGCGACCGCGGAAACCAGACAACCGGCTAGCCGGTTGTCTGGTTGCCACCGTCACCCATAGATGGCGGCGCATAGTACAGCCCCGCAGCTCTTCCTCCTTCACCAAAATGAAAAACTGAAAGTTTTCTTTTTACGTTACTTTTGATATTTTTCGCGTTTTTTGTGTTTTATTCGTTGTCATACTTTGCATTGCTAACTTTTCTACACTAATCTCCCCTTTTTTTCCTCTCAAAGGAAAATCAAAAATGCTAAGCACAGCCACCAGAACAAAGTCTTCTATTCCGCTAATGAACTCGGTCTCCGGATCCGCTCGCCCGAACACACACACTGTGAACCGAACACACACAGTTGTGACTCAGAAAGAACACCGCA